TGTATGCATGTATGCATGCATACATAGGCATGTTTGCTTGTATGCTTGTATTTATGCATGTATGTGTATGTGTCTATCTATGTATGTGTCTGGGTTCGTGTTTTCGTTTGTGTCTGTGTTTCTGTCTCTGTCGGCACGCGCGTGTACACGCGTGCATGTGGGTGTTTGCGTGTGTGTGTGTGGGTGTGCGTGCCTGTATGTGCGCTCATGTGTATGTGTGTGTAGGTGCAGGCATATGCGAATGCATGTGTCTGCACATGCATGTGTATGCATAGGTGTCTCGCTTACATGCATGCTTATGTGCATGTAACATGTACATGTATTTGCATGCGTGTACATACAAGCATGTTATGCACATGTGTATGCGTAGGAAGATGTTCATGTTGATGTCTGTGTGTGCATATGGCTGTATGTTTATGTATGCATGCGTCCATTGGTACGTGAGCAAAGAGATATGTATATATATATATATATACATATATATATATATATACTCATATTTCTATGTAATTGTAGATGCATGGGTATAGGAATATGTATATGTATAAGTGCAGGTATAGGCATTGGTGTTGGTCCATGTGAATGTGCGTATTTTTTGCTCCGTGTGCAAACACGCATGTGCACTTATGTAACTTTGCATACCGGTTACTTGAACGAGAGACACCAGTACATGTCATCGTCAAGTTGGAGCTTGCATGCTGCGTACTAAGTTCGATTTTTAGACGGACGCGTGGTATCTGCACGTATCTTGCAACGCCCATTTCCTGTCTGAATGTTGGAGGTGCTACTTGGAACGGTAGTTGTGCCAGTTGCATTTTCATGTTTCGGTCAGAAAAGACTGGGAGATGGGTTGCTTTGTCTAGCCTGCAATGCCTGCATGGCCTCATTCGTGGGCCGGGCGTGGAACAGTGAGAGGAGAAGTTGAAGACGGCCGATGGATGGCACAGGTACCGCCCGAGGGTCCCAAGCCCTGCTGCCTCTGCAGCAGTGGCCGTGGCCGTAGCCGCAATTTCTCTCTGCTCAGACTGGTCTCTTGCATCCACGTGCCCGTGCCAAAGGAAAAGGGCACTGTGACATCACTTTTGTCTACTACTACTTCTACTATTTTATAACTACCCTCTTATTACTACTATTATTACTATTACTATTACTATTACTACCACTAAGGTGAGTCTAGGCCCTAGGCCTTCTGCTATCGCGTCCATGTCTGTTGTTGCAGTCAAGGTGGATGAGCAATGCGTCACGTTTTCCAATCTAGGCCTAGTGCTTCTGGTAGCATCGTCGCACGGTTAGGGCGTAGGTAGGGATCGCTGGAAAGCGCCGGGAGCGACGAAGGGCCACCCAGAAGCCTCACTATATCTTGCCCTAGACCCTTATTCTAAACCCGAAGCCCTGCTCCGAAGCCCTAAACCCTCGGCCCCAAGCCCCATACCCTGAACTCTCACACCCAAACTCACCGAAATCCTTCAACTGGCCCTATACCCCAACCCCCTAAACCTTAAACCTTAAACCCTAAACCCTAAACCCTAAACCCTAAACCTGGAGGAGTGCCACATCAACATCACCCGCGAGGTCTTCCAAGCCTGGCTGAAGGTCCGAGGGTTTAGGGGTTTTAGGGTTCCTTTAATGGAATCTACAAGGGTTCCTATAAGGGAACGATAAGGATTCTACAAGAATTTCAGGGCGGTGTTGTAGGGTTTGGGCTTTTGGGGTTTAGGGTTGTGGGGTTTAGCGTTCAAGGTTTCTGGATAAACAGGGTTTTGGGGGGTTGTTAGAAAATGCAGGCCGCCATTTCGACACGTTCTGTACCAATACCGATATCAATACAAGTACGCCTACTATCACTACTACCGCCACTACTACCACCACTACTGCTACTTTTACTACTACTACTACTACTACTACTACTGCTACTGCTACTGGACCCTGGTAGCCGCTTGGAAACCTCCCATGTAGTGCCCTCGGACGCTGCCACGCGGGAGCCAACAACAACAACAACAACAACAACAACAACAACTGCTAGTACTACTGCTGCAGCTGCTGCTGCTACTACTACTGCTGCTACTGCTGCTGCTGCTGCTGCTACTGCTGCTACTACTACTACTACTACTACTACTGCTAGTACTAGTACTAGTACTAGTACTGCACTACTACTACTACTACTACTACTACTACTGCTACTGCTACTGCTACTGGTACTACTACTACTACTACTACTACTACTACTACTACGGTACTACTACTACTGCTACTACTACTACTGCTACTACTACTACTACTACTACTACTACCACTACTACTACTACTACTACTACTACTACTACTACTACTACCACCTGCCTGCTCCTGCTGCTCCTGCTCGTGCTCCTGCTCCTGCTCCTGCTCCTGCTCCTGCTGCTGCTGCTGCTCGTTGCTATACTTGATCGAGTTTATCGCTGTGATTTCCTGATGTTGTGGTTGTTAAGCGACCACCCATGTCATTGTTAGTGGTTAGTTCGTATCATTGGTAGTCCAAGCACTGTTTTCCGCCGTTGTCAAGCTTTTCTTCGTTTCCTGTTCTCCTAACCTTGTGCCCGACATTGCCTGTGCTTCAGTCTTCCGGCAAGAAAGATGGTAACCCTTCGCCCTGGCTGGTTGACCCTAAACCCCTAAACCTTAAACCCTAAACCCTAAACGACCCTAAACCCCTAAACCCTAAACCCCCAAACCCTAAACCCGTGAACCACAGACTCCTTGTCCTTGGAGGGAACAGTTCCTGGCTCTACTGACTACTGCTGGTGATGAGTAAATATCTCCAGTCGGTCCCCGCACAGTGCACTCGACAGATGACGGAACATGCATGGTGCAGTGAGCACGAGAATTGGGAGTCTTCATCACTGGGCACCAGGCGGTCCAGTCAGATGAGCAGATCATTGAGGATTCGCTTGTGAACTCTGTGGAGACTGAGGTGCATGCGGACAAGCAGCTTGCGGAGGCCAGGGATTTTGACCAACTTCAGCTTGATGTAGAAGAGGAGAGACAATGGCGACTTCAAAGGGACAAGGAGGAAGAAGAACGACAAAGGTTTGAAGAGCAGGAGCAACAACACCTGCAACGAGAGGCCCAAGCGTGTCGTGAATGGGAAGACGCTCAAGCACGAGAAGAACTTGGTGTGCCGGCAAGGGCTGCGAAGCTGCACCATGTTGCTGGAGGCGTCGTCTTGTTCGACCGGAAACCGAGGGTTACACCCACCGTTGCGTTTGATGTTCCCATAAACGGGGACGCCTTGGTTCTCTCTGTGCGTGCCTCCATGGAGTGCGATCCCAGTGAAGTCACGACGGTTCCCGTTCATATACCGGGAGCGGCTACTGCTGGTGTGCACGACGGCATCCTGGCGCCGGCCAACACACCGGGGTACATACTGCTCGAGTTTGCAGAATATGAGGCAATCTATGCAGAATGGCGAGCTGGCACTTTGACAATGGAGACGATTCGATTTCACTTCTGCAGGCGGAGCTAGCTTTGTCTGAAGAGGTCGACCAAGACGAGGGACACAGGAGTGGCATGGACGGTCTTGCCGCGGTTGCGGACACGTGTCTGCAGGAGAGAAGTGGGTCGGAGCCTGCATGTGGCCTGGCAACTTCATCGTTGACTCGGAGTGGGGGCCCGGCTATGGTGACGCAATCTCTGCCTGAAGTGGTTGCTGGGCTTGGTGCACCGGAGCAGCAAAGAAATTCGCTATGCCGCTGTGGACTGTTTGAGAATGTTAATGGCCAGCGGAAGACTGGTTTGAAGACGAATGAGGAGGTGACTCGGTTGTTTGGGCCGATATGGACATGGCTACATCTCTTTCAGCAATAGCGAACGTGGGGTCTTGATGCCATATGGTGCTACCAGGAGGACATCCTGGACATTGGAGCCAGACCCCTGTCCGATGTCTCGTGATCTTTGTGATCGTCCTTTGCCGTTGCCGCTGCAGGTGGTCTGGAAGGTTTATGTCCGTTGGGTTGCTGGTCAGCTAGCAGACAAGTATGGCTCAGAGTGGCTGTTGATCTTTCAAAAGTTGCACGCTGGAGATATGACAGCTGCCCGTCCGCTCATGGAGGATCTGGTGACTTGGAGTGCTGGGGAGTTTGAGTTAGAGGCGCCTGTGATGAGCAGCTCGATTCAGGGTCAAGAAAGTGAGCAAGACAGTGGAAGGCGTGGAAATGGGTCGGGATGAAGGAGAACTGATGGGCCAGCTGGTAGCCTTCCGCTAGGGCGGATTCTGGATGAAGGATGCTCCGTCAGACGGATAAAGGCGTGCAAAAAAAAAACCTACACCCCTAAACCCCAAGCCCCAAACCCTAAACCCAAGTGTGACGGAGGATTCTGAGTTCGTCCGTGTGCTCGAAGAGGCGGACGTGGATGTGTCAAACAAGCCCCTTCGGCTTGAGCTTTTCTTATTCATTTATTGTTAATATTTTTTGTGGGGGGATTGGGGGTTGAGGTTTAGGGTCCAAGGGTTTGGGGTTTAGGGTTCAGGGCTAGATCTTGGGGGCAGAATTTGAGGTTTAGGGTTCATGGTGTATGGCTTGGCGTTTAGGGCTTCATTAGGGTATATTAGGGTTTAGGGTTTAGACTCTACGAGACGCGGGGAACCCGACAAGCATGTTGCTGTAAAGCTTCTAGGCAAATGCTCCGCATTAGTCCGTGAACCACAGCCATCAGCCCTAAAGAAGCGCACGTCAAGTGTTTTCGAGTTCTGGTTTCTTGTTAGTCAATCGGGCAAAGATTCTAAAATCATGGGTTCCCGCATTCCCGCACAATGTGGAGCAACCCACTCAGCCTTACACCAGACGCAGGCCCGCATCTTCTCCTGCACCCAACTCCTAAACCCTAAAAGTGAGCGCCGGAACCCGAACCTAACCCTAAACCGGAAAACCAAAACCCTAAACCCTACATCCTAGTAGGAAGGATAAACACCTTAAAACCTTCAAACCCCAACCCTTCACCCAGGTTTGAGCTTTTTAACATCCTGGATGTCGTCGCTCGGCCTGTTCCCAGTTGTCTCCGTGCGAACGGATTGCAAACCTTCGAGTTGATGGAGCCTTATATATATATATATACATACATATTTATATACAGACGTACGTATGTATGTTTACATATGTATACATACGGATTTCTCTCTATATATAAAAGTACCAATAAGTATATATAAGTTCAGATACACGGATGTGGCTATGAAGAAATCTAAACTGTAGATTGCGTGATCGGTTTTTGCGGTTTGAGGTTAAGGATTTCGTCCGGAATCCTCATGGGAAGGAAGATCTCCCTCCCGGTTTAAAGGTGCACAAATTCAAGAAATGAGTCTCCCGGTACGGATGTATACATGTATTTATGTATATATGTATATATGTATATATGTATATATGTATATATGTATATATGTATATATGTATATATGTATATATGTATATATGTACATATGTGGATATGTGTATATGTATATATGTATGTATGTATGTATGTATGCATGCATGCATGCATGCATGTATGTATGTATGTATGTATGTATACATGTAGACATAAGCTCGGCAGCTTGTGCTGTCTTTCCAGAAGCTTCAGCCGAACCTGGACTCTTCCAGAGATAAAGGAAAGCCTGAAATGCATCGATCAGAGGATATGGGTGGCGAGTTATCCGTGGAAGAGCTTCTGCGCCTTGCCCAAGACAGCTTCGATGGTTTGCTAACCGTTCCCAAACCCGGAACCCTCGCAGCCGGTTGTGCGCATCTGCCTGTGGCATTTTCTGTGTCGACTGTCTTCCTGCTGCGAACTGTGTTGGGCTGCAACCCTACACCCCAAACCCTAACTTCTAACCCCTAGGCCCTAGACCCTCGCCTCCTGAGTTGGCAGGATGCAACAGGAAAGCGAGGCTTGTGCATGGTAAAACGGGCTTTATCTTCGAAAGCTGCAGAGTGTGTCTTCCCTTGCCAAAGTGTGGCTCACCGACCGAAATCCGGCCATGATACAGCAGATGTGGTGTGCGTGTGTGCTCTTACTCACATATGCATGCATGCATGAATGAATGAATGAATCAATGAATGAATGGAAGGGATGAATGAATGAATGTATGTATGTACCTATGTATGTACGTATGTATGTATGTATGTATGTATGTATTTATGCAGGAAGATAGCTTGAAACACATGCTGCAGCCGAGGATCTCCATTGGTTGCTGCAATGGTTGCTGAAATTGCTATGTTCACACCCCGGAGTTGTCTGTAGCATATTTTGATTCCCACCTTTGTCTTTGAATTGGGTATGGCATGCATGCAGATGTACGCATGTGTGCATGCATATGTGTGAAGGGCATGCTTTTGCTGTAGGCCTATCGTATTTCTTCCTGTCCCAAGGCTTCAAGACCCTGAAAGTTGCACAGCCCAGAGCTTTTGAACCGAAAGGCGGAAGGTTTTCCACGTGACTCAGAAGACAAGGAGCAGCCGGCAGAGAGGGGTCTTGCGAGTTGTCCCTTTCGGGCTCATTGTAGGTTTCACGCCGACGCGAAGCACAGAATTCCTCACGAGCTCGCAAGGAGATTTAGCTCGCGCAGCGACCTGCTCTAGCTTTGTCAAGCAGAGCACTCTCAACGAAGATCTGTGTTTAGGGGAACGTCCCAACCAGGAAACTTTGAACCTCCGTCTGAGGAACGGCCTCATGGGCCTGCGCGGTGACGTGTCCAAGGGAGATGTGGTCTCAATTCTCCTCCGCGTGCGGGACATCCTCCAGCGGGCCGATTGGGCGTCAACAGCATCGGGGGCGCCTCCATTGTTTTGCATGATCGGGTGTCCTTTTCAATCCTCGACGTATTCTGGCTATTCTGGGGTGTACCTTTAGGAATTTAGGCTCTCTCAGGAGCCGTTGTGATGTGAAGCTGGCTTTAACGCGCCCGCACAGTTTCATGACATGGTGTGCCCTGGGCCCGAGCATACTTCTAGCTGGCATCACATGACCTTGCCGTCATCATAGGCGGCATCGTTTTGGTCGTCATGACCATAGCATTGCCGACCGTATTAGCGATGGCCGCGACAGCCACCCTCACCTTGACCACCGGCTTGGTTCAACCTTCGACTTTCACCATCATCAGCACTGCCAGCACCACAGAAGACGACGAGCACTCGCCCGTCTCTATCATCACCATCTCTATCAGCACCATCATCACCTTCATAACCATTACAACCATCACCGCCAGCGGCATAATCACCACCGTCAGCTCCAACTTCATCCTCATCAACACCACCACCACCACCATCATCATCAGCATCATCATCATCATCATCGCATTCCGCATCATTACTGTCACCATCCTCACCTCCAACACCATTATCTCGATCATTTTCACATCATTAATATCGTCAGCTTTTTGCTTTCAGCTGATCGATTGCTGCAGAAGTCTAGGAAGTCCTCAGCATCGGCACGTCTACTGCCAGCATCAAGCAGATCTGAGCAGAGTTGAACATGTTGTTCAGCTAGTACAGCCTTAGCTTTTGCCTTACTGTCAAACCTCCTTCCATAGTTGTACTGCAACAATTTCCAAGCCCTCATGTTGGTTCGGTCCTTGGCCCTTGTGGGATCAAATGGGCCATTCCTAGGACAAACCCCGAAGCCTGACCTATACAAAGCTCTAAACCCACGTACAGGCATCCCACCCTCTGTCAGCTCTTCTGCGGGTCTTGAAGCTTTCAGGAGGTTTGTGGTTTTCTGGTTCAAAGCTTCCTGAACAACGCGCGGCCGCCGCTGCGCTAAGGTGGAGCGGATGGAGCAGCAGATGAGCAAGGGGGCATAGCTTCCTTTCACCGATAGAATGTAATTAGATCCTTTTTCACCCACACCCCGAACTCCTAGACTCACAAGGAATCTTGTGCCCCAACATCACGTGCCTGTGCTGCTCGCATGCCCTTTTGCGTAGTAAACATTCAGTTGTGGGGTTTTGGTGGCCCTTCCTTATGGGAAAAAGGCCTCCTGGGCAAAGCCAGTATGCAAATCCCCACGATGTCGCGGGGGGACGGACATCTGCCAACTTATGGGATGCATTGATCAGGGTGCGTACCCCCGCTTGCCCGGGTAGTTTTCTTGGCAAGCTCACTATGCTTTCCAAGCGCTAGGCCCACGAAGGGCTGAAATTCATTGGTATCGAAACTTGCAACTGCCACTGCGGCAGTGTACTGTGAACTGTTAGTTTGCATCGCCCGGCATGTGCAGACTCGCGTGCATGGCTGCCGACTGCCCATGGGAAGAGCAAATCATGTCATCTCGAACCCGCAGCATTTGTGCGTCAGATTGCTTCGGTTCTGTCGGCAGCATAGCTTATGCCAAGTGGGTATTGAAGTTGCGTGACTTGTATGTGGTTCCACTGGTGCAAGAAGCTGTACATCCAGGTCCGGCGCTTGTAAACATGTCGTTGATGTAGATATGCTCTTAATTTATGTATGCCTGCAAGTATGTATGGAACCATGCATATGCATCTGAACTTTTGCGTTAGCACAAACAAAAAAGCAATCGTGTATGTATTTTTGCAGTTACCAGTGGAAGCTCTCTCACACACACATGTATATATGTATAAATATATATATATATGTGTATATATAAATACATATATATATA